GGAAAAGTGGCAGTTGCAATTTCTTTCAGACCAAGGTGACCTCTTTAAATGTCTTGTTGCACCCAGTGTAGCGTCGTAAAGTATACTATTTACATGTAATGTATTTTCACATTTAAGAATTTGGAACCAGAGAAGTTTGGAATTTTGGCAAAGAAATACTAAAACCATTATTTATTATCTTTTGCGCTGATAGTTCGTTTGATTTATAGACGCATCTCTGCTAATAAAACCAGGATCCTGATTCATGATGTATGCAATCTCCTTTTTATGGGACAATAATTCTGCAGTGTTTGCATTACAGGAGAGATCCAATGTATCTTAACAACAGCTCCCTCAGATGAATCAACAAATAACAAGTATGCATTAATGCATGTCACAACGTGTGCACAGGAAGGGGGGGGGCAGGATATGATATAAATAAAACTGTTGTGATACATGCAAGAAAGTGAAAACCATGTGATGTGAGGAAGAACACACACATCCATCTAGGTCTGATTGTATCATAAAAAATGCATATTTCATGCCCATCTATGCATTCAAACAACTAAAGGTTTTTGCAATAAAATAGCAGAAAAACAAGGGTGTGTTAGGGGCTTGTATCACTCAACAGTTTGGTCACAACGTCTTTTTCCAACCAGGAAATTACAATTCTCATCAAGGACATGCAGTCGAGCTGTATGGATATGCAGCAGTGCACCTCCATCTACTAAAGGCATGAAAACAGGACAGAGCATGGCTGCGCTGTGCACAATGAGATGCCAAAACTGCTACAAAACAGCTGCATTACCGAGGGAAAGCGGTGTGAGGAACTGCAGTCTGGGGGACATGCAGCTTTACCTATGCAGAACCGCATTAATCCTGCAATAAAATAGGGCTCAAATGTTTTTTTAAACCACCATTATCTTACTTGAAAAACATTTATGACAATATATGTGCGGTTGATACATATTGAGTAGTGTTTCCCAAAGGAAACAAACTGCTTTGGGTGAAATCCTATAGTCATTATTTATACTATACCATTAGTAACAACAGTAGGTGGTGGTAATTGCACTTTTTTGAAGTCAAAGTGAAACAAATGCTTTATCACTGCGACACTAATTGATACAATCCACAGCACAAAGCACACACTTTTCACAGAGAGAAGTTCACTATACAGTTAATGATGATCATGGTTACTCTAGTCACACATTTATCAACTTGAAATGTTGATGATTAAATAGATTGTGATTGAGATAAAGATAAATTCATCAGTTTCATACTGACTACACTGCCAACCTAAAGTACAGGAGGTGTTTTTAATCACACTTTGAGGAATGCAAGGCACTATAGTGCGCCGGACGTTGAAGCAAATGTAGTACTACAACTTCTATGTCAGTCGGTGATGTCATTTTGGCCCAAAAATACTTTGTTAAAATGATTAGGAGCTAAAAGTCTAAGAGTTATTTTCCCTCCATTCATTTGAAAGAGCCGATTTGGAGGCGCATGCTCTATGGTCCCAAAAACTGATACTTTTGCTCTCGAGCGGCCGGCCATTTTGGCTTCATGCTCCACCAAGCAACTCTTAAAGAACAGAACGAGGTCCCGCCTCCAACGCTGTTTCCATTCCTCTTTATTCATCCGTAACTGCAAGCCCGAATGTGAGAACAGTATGATTAAGAAACTTTAAGAGCACTTATCTCTTTTTTTAACCTTTTCACAAAAATAAAAAACACACCTGTCAACTGTGTGTGGGTGTGTTTTATAAATTCAAATATCCAGATAAAAGAGTGTGTATGTATCCAAGCTTGTGCGTGGGAGAAGGAGAATGCAAAATAAAAACAAAACAAACAAAAAGATGGACTAAGATAGAGAGTAAAGGCAAACAAGAGAGAGAGGGTGTGTGTGTGTACACGTGTGAGTGTGCGAGTTGTAATGGATGTGTGGTCTTCATGCTGTGTCCCTTGAACTGTGCGTGACGAGTGTCGATGTTGACACATCAACATAATAATTGTTTGTGCAAACCAACTAATTATGTAGATATAGATACAGTAGAATGAACTGTGTACATATTAATTATGTGAAGTGTGTATGGATATAATGTGTGACAGAGTCGATATGAGTGTGTGTTTCTGTGTGCAAAAGTGTGTGTGTGTGTGTGTTTGTATTTCAAGAGAATTCGTATGGGTAAATCCACTTTTTTGTGTGTGGCTGCTTTGTTTTGTCTTGTGTGGATGTGTTTTTGCAATATGTAAGTGGCCGTGTGTATTTCTCTCTCTGTGTGTGTGTGTGTGTGTGTGTGTGTGTGTGTGTGTGTGTGTGTGTGTGTGTGTGTGTGTGTGTGTGTGTGTGTGTGTGTGTGTGTGTGTGTGTGTGTGTGTGGTACTGTATAATAATTTGTATGTGTGTGTGTCCATGTGTGTTTCTCCTCTGCCCAGATGGCTGTGCTCAGAGGCTGGAGTCTCTGAGATCTGTTGCCAGCGGTGAATACTGATCAGTGATCACTGTCACATCTACAGCACGCACACACACACGGGCACACGTCATCCATCTTCCCTCACACACACTTCCACTTCCACATGGTCAAACTACTAATTCACACAGCCTCTATGTGTCCTCCATGCCGAAATGTTCTGCTCTGCAGGTCACGGCTGCAGCTCTGATTACCGAGCTGTCCGTCACACCTGAAGATCGACACCCTGCAGGCTGCGCGCCGGGAGACATTTCACTTTTATGTTGTGATTATGATATTTAATCAGGACTGATTGAAAAAGACAAAGGGAATGTGGATGTGGCTTGAGTAGCTGAGTGTATTGTTATTGTTTTTGCCGAGATGGATGTTTCTTCTTTCTTTCACTTTGTGGGATTGACTCTTGGTTGAAATCTATTTAATAAAGGTGATTATTCATTTACGTCATTCTTCAAGCAAAATTGCTAAATAATCCTTATTCCAGCTTCTGATAAGGTTGAAAGGTTACAAAATGAATCGTTAACGTAACAAGAAAAAAATCATGATATGATGGAATTGCGAAAAACTTCACACAATTTACTTTTAAAAATCAATATGGATAACATCATTGTGTACATTTAATCCACTGATAATACTAAATATAAAATCACCACCCATTCCTTTTAAAATATTGCTTTTTTAGTAATAAGGAATGATAGCATTGTCGAAGTCGAAACCTCTAAAAACCTTTCATGCTGCATTCCAACAAGCTGCGTTTCATCCTTTTCCAAAGCAAACAAACACAATCTGAAAAATAAATGGCACTAATAAAGAAACTCTCTGTGGTATTATTACAATATCTAATCTCATGGTGAAGCTCAGAGGTCATTTACAGCTCCATAAAGTGAATCCCATATCTCCTGACCTCCTCCCACAGCACCAGCTGCTGCTTCACCTGTCAGCAGGTTGCCACTGATTATGACACGATGTTGAGGAATACCTGCAATATGCTGCAATACAGGGATAACAAATGCTCGCAGATGACAACACTATTAAAACAGAGTGTGAGCTATGGGCAGCTATGGGAGCTATGGGCAGCTTCAGTTGAACATTGCGATGGACAACAAGCTGCCGTTACGTGTGTGAAAAGCTGCTGCGCACAAAGGCTCGCTCGGCTTTCATTTGAAAAGATCTAGATGGCAGAGAAAAAGCCAAATCGAATTCTTCTGGCAAAGTAATTGTCAAGTCACTGATGGAGATCGATAACCCCGTGAGCCAAGGTTAAACAACATTACATTACATTAGAGAAAGTAATAACGCTTGTAATTAGGTGGATAAGACATCCGATACGACATTACCAATTTAGACATTTCTACTCTTTTCAAACCACAACCTTTCCTGTAATTGATAAGAAACCGTTTGAATGTTTTTCTGTCCTCAGAGCAAAATGTTGTGCTACAAGGATCAAACCTGCCCCCCCGCCTTTAATCAGCAATAAGCAAATGAATGCAAATTACTCTTCAGAGGACGAGCCACAGCAGTGTCCATCACGCCCCGACACACACTCTGAGATGTAGTTAGTGGGCACAGTGCATGACGCTCGCACACACACACACACACACTTTCACGCATCTCACGACTGCACGATCCTACTCTGAAAAACACATCCAAATGAAATGCACACAAAATATGGATATATTTCCTCATATCATCCCATTCACAAAGGGTTGTGTATTACAGTCAAACACAAAGTCATGCACACAAGCTTTGATAATATTCCAACATAATGTCCCAATGTCACACACTCACAGACACACACAGACACACACACACAGTATACCACTCTGATTTCCCAGACAAAATGAAAGTGAGGAGGCAGCCGCATCACACCTCCAAATGTGCTCCGGTCTCAGAGGACTTTGAGTGAGGGGAGAACTGCTCTCCTGTGGCTGTCACCAACACTAATCTGTCTGTCTCATCACACACAGACACACAGACAAAAAGTACACACTCATGCACACTTCTGCTGTGTCCATCCCTCTCTGTCTAGGTAGCACAAGCCCCGACAGCAACACATGAGAGCATGAGGAGCTCTGCATTCCAGCCGTCTCTCGACAGGTATACTGCCTTTCTCCGGGTCGCTTTGCAAAACAGACTAAACGGTTGGTTCCTGAACTGAAGCAATACGATGCAGGAACCTCTGGTGTTCGCATTCCAGACAAAAACATGAAGAAAAAGAAAAGAAAAAGAAACACGGAAAACGCATACTAAAAAAAAACATCTGTAAGCACATCAGGGCTGCTATATCCCGCCTCCCCTGGAAATAACAGAGCATTTCTGTCACAAACAGAACATCGCCGCATTCCTAAGTATACAGAAAGAGCAAACAGAAAAACACCAAGTATGTAGAGAAGAAAACATGCACACGCAAACATCTGCCGAGCCTCTAAGTTAAGTGGAGGTGGGCTGCACATGTTTTGCACAGGGGGCTCAGGTTTCTCTAGGTAGGGAACCCCAAGGTTCTCCCGGTGCCGTGCACAGCTGAGCAGAAGCTCTGAGATCTTGGATCACTTACCCAAAGGGACGAAATGTAGAACTTGGTTGGTCTCCATGACTGAGCAAGTGGTGGCGAATGCACACTTCTTCTCTCCAACCGACTCCCCCCCCCCCCCAAGTCAACCCATCATGGTTGTGTTATCCTGTGCTGATGAGTGTGAGATCACCTCTGCTCCCTTGCTCTGCTCTGTTTCTGACTGCCTCTCAGACACATGCAGTGACTCAGCCCCGCTGCCTGCCTGCTAAACGTCTCACCACTGGGTCCTAGTGCCTTCTCTTTCCCCCCGCCCCTTCACTATCCCAGCCCACCAGTCAGCAGCCTATGGCAGGCCGGCATGTAGCGAGACAGACATACCTACAAGACACACCCCCAACATACACAACACAGCAAACCCCACATACCTGTCATCTTTCTTTTTCGCCATATCATCTCATATTCACCTTTCCTTTGTCTAAAACTCACTGAACTAGTTTCATCATGAATGTGAGCTGATATTAGGGCTGCTCGATTATGGCAAAAATCATAATCTCGATTATTTGGGTCAATAATTGATATCACGATTATCCATTTACTTTGAAAACATCCATTTATTGAAAAAGAAATGTGAACAGTATGTTTTTAACAGTTGATTACCCTGAACTTTAACCTGTTAAGCCCTGAGCCTGTTTTTCAGGTCTCAGGCTCGAAAATGACATTCCCAGAACAAATGACCATATCTTCCCTTCTAAAAGGGTTAAATTAATAATTATTTTTCTCAAAGTAATGATAAACCTGTGAGTTGGATGTAGAAAAGTCAGAATCAATATAGATGTTTTTTATTTTAAAGAAAATTCAGATTTTACATAGTAAAAAACTGTAAATTATAGTGTCCGTCCAAAAATTCTTTTTTACTTATAGAGAAAACCACCCTTGGATGATGGGTTAGTAGACTAAAAGCTTTAGGAATCCAAAGTACAACATATAATAAGTACCCTGTATCAAGATTGATGCAAAACAAGTGACATTTGACCTTTTTAGAGAGATTTAGCAAAAAGAAACCACTTCTGGGTCATTTGGGTGGATTTTCCATATCTCTGGCCCCCCTTGCTCGATTTTGATGGTTGACACCTCTTTCTGACCATTAGAGCCAATAGAATCGAAGGGGGAGTCCCCCACACATACGTTGTGAAGAGAAAAGGTGGGGGCTTTGCGCATGTAATTTAGCATCAGAGTGAACCTATCTCTAGCTTTGACATCTAGAAACGGAAAAGCAGTTTTAATGCTTATGGATTATCAGAAATCATTTCAAAGGGACACAGACACATTAGATTAACCTATGGATTAACTTCAGCAGCGTTTTTATCGTTTTAATGCCATTGAAGACCACTTTGGAGAGACTACAGAGCCAAGGTAAAACATTTAGCATTTTTAGCTACCTAGCCTCACCTGTTTTGATGTCCGTTTTTACTTATAATGTCGCAAATACGTATAATTCAGTGGTAATGTCGGTGTCAATCGATTCTGTGTCACCTCACGATGTGAAACGATGTGTTGGATGTGGTGAAAAGATAAATAAGGTTTTGTGAGTGATTTTCGGTGCAGTAAGGTGTTAGCATTTTTCGCTCGTTGCTAATTCAGAGGCTCAGTGTTAGCATTGTGGGTTTTCTTTTGAAAAAAAAAAAAAATGATCAGTTAGATGAGTTTCTTCCCGTTACATGGATATAAAACATTCATAGTTTTATTAAATGAACATGCCCTCAGACACTGTTTCCTGCAAGATGTTGCGGCAGTGCACCGGTACCGGGGTCTCTCGGGCTTAACAGGTTAAGTATAATTCAACTGAAAAACCAAGAAAAAAAAGAAGAAAAAAAAAAAGATAATGATAATCGTTTGGTTTCGATTATGTTGTTTTCATAATCGTTGCAAGCCAAAATCGTAATTGCGATTAAAATACGATTAATTGAGCAGCCCTAGCTGATATCTCTCCATGATAACATCCACATATAATAATAATTTAGTTTTTATAGCGCTTTTCCTGGTGCTCAAAGACGCTTTACATACAATCAGAAACAGTACAAAGAAAACAAAAAAACAGTAGTCCTAGTCCAACTGCGAGTAAAGTGGGGGGAGGGGGTTGTTGATCAGAGTTTGAAATCTAGAGTGAATAAGTGTGTTTTGAAAGATATACGTCTGAACTTGTACACTGAACTGGTTTGTTTTAGGACAATGTCAAACCAAGAATGTAACGGTGACGGCCCGTCCACACAGCGGCGTGCGTTGTCGCTTGCCGGCGGGCATGTCTGAAGCTAGACCAACAACCAATCACCTGAATCTCCCTCCCCGGACACACAAGCGGCAGTTTGATTGGCTAGAGCTTGTACTGGCATATGATTCGATTGGCTGACGCTTCCGTCGAAGCTTCAAAAGTTGAACATTGCTCAACTTTTGCAACTTCGCTCCCACAATGCAGTTTGGCGAAGCGTGACGTCACCCCATTCAAAGTGAATGGGCTGAAGCGTTGAAGCTTTAACGCATGCCGCTGTGTGGACGGGCCGTGATAAAGACAGAGCATGTAGTGATTGTTTTGCAGAACATGCATGCATCTATGGTGACTTTCAGTATTGCTTTGCCTTTTTTGGATCAGAATGCATTAAAGATGAACTTAAACCAATCCAGACCAAAGACTAACCCAAGACTGAGACATTTCCCATCTTTCGGCCCAACTTTAAAAGACACACACACACACACACACACACACACACACACACACACACACACACACACACACACACACACACACACACACACACACACACACACACACACACACACACACACACACACACACACACACACACACACACACACACACACACACACACACACACACACACACACACACACACAGTAGGCAAGTTTCGGACTCTGGAAATGTGTGATTTTTCTAAATGTTGAGTGATGTATTTTATTAGTTGATCAAAAGATTTAAAAAAATAAAGAAATCAATCATTATAATAGTTTTTTTTAAATAATGATCTTTTCAGGGGGACTAGTTGTTGAAATGCAACATTAAATTCTGTTGTCATACCTGCTATGTCCGCTTCAATACTCAACTATTTAAAAAAGACAATCTTAGGCAGTTGCAGTCCCGATCAAGACAAACGTACAATTTTTGCCTTCATTAAAAAGAGCATTAATACAAAGATTTGGCAGCCATAAAAAGAGACAAAAGCCTAACAATAATTCATGAGTAAACCACAGCCAGAGCTCCTGCTAATTTGAATGCACTTTTTTTTCACTGGCACCAGTTGTACACCACGTGTAAATTATGGCAAAAAGCACCAAGTTGTTCATCATGCCTAGTGAAGGAGACAGCGACTGGGATTAGATTTGTGTTGACACCTCCGCATTCAGTTGCCCAATGCAGTCGTGCATGGTGCCAGGTAACCTGTCCAGATGTCAGATTTATGGTTTAATTGTAGTCATTTTGAATACACAAACCCAATCATTGAGTTACAGTTTGTACTGAAGAACACACACTTTAAACAGTTGTTGGTCTTTAGCCACATTTGAATGCACAGAAATAAATGAATAGTGCATAAAACGCCCACAAAAAGCCACTTTGTACTGGATTTGCATCAGGTATTCAGTTTTTACCTTCCTTTGACCCCTATCAGGCAACATACAAGCAATGTAACTTCAGAGCAAATTGTTTTGACGTGAAAGGTCATAATCCTGGAAACAGGTCATCCTGACCCCCCGCCCCTCCCCTCAGGATGACTCAAACCAACAAAACATCTTCTGGTCATTTATGCAGGGCTTGACATTAAACCTGTTTAGCCAGCAGCTGAGATGCTTTACTTGCCTTGAAGCTTCGGAAATGGAAAATGTAGGACTGTTAAAAAAAAACTGGGGTTTGGACAATTATAACAATTACAAAACCTACAAATAACATGTTCTCCTGAACTTGAAAGCCACCACACTTATTTTCACATAAATTATAATTCTACCTTGCAGATGATGAAGCAATATTTTAAAGTTGTAGACATGATAATGTTCCTAAATCATCACTGTAGGAGATGGAACTGCCTATTTAATTTTTTACAAGAGCTGCTGTAGGCTGAAGGCTTTTGGTTATTAAAATAATGAGTTTGGTTTTGTTTGAAGTACGCAGCATGCAATACTGCCTTATAAACCTGCTAAGCTACACAAAATGATCACCACAAACTTTTGTATTTTGGGGGAGAGGGCATTTCTTAAGTAACGAGAAGAAGAAAGGGAACAAGAACAAACAATACAAAATGTTCACTTCATCAAAAAATGTTATTTTCTAAAAAAAATCAATACATCTGATGATAAACACTTTCTAATGTGTTTTTGCTAAAGTTGCCTAGCTGCTTGAACAATACAAACATTGACTTACAGATGATTGATTAATAACAAGGTCTAAAGATGTTAGTTGTAACTTAAAGGGGCATTTTTAGGTTGATGTTTGTATTTAGTGGCTCTACTGTGACATGTTTCAATGCTTTAATGCTTTAATGTTCACAAAGCTCTTTATTTTTCTAATACTGCCTGTGCTGCAGCACCTATTTTCACCCTCTGTCTGAAACCAGAGAGATGTCCCACCCCTTATCCTATCAGGTACAATGGAGCACCAGCCAATAAAAGCATGAGTGCAACATAGTGATGTTACTAATGTAAACAAACTAGTCCAATCAAGATGCTTAAGGCAGGAGGGGAGTGTGTGGGAGAGAAACTCCCTTTGGAGGGAACTTTGGGATTTAAGCCTTTCCAGACCATTTACATGCATTAAAAACTAGGGATGCTCCGATCGCCAATTTTGGGGCCGATCGCCGGAATCAGTATCTGCCGATACCGATCACCGATCCGATCGAGTGGGCGGGGCCTAAATGGAAGATTTAAACATCACTTTAAATCTTCCATTTAAAGTGATGTTTAAAACTCAGTTAATGGGGCTCATTCACTGGAGCTTCCACAAACAACAATCAACTTAATTATTACATTCAAATTATGTATATTATTCAAGTTTACATTCACTTTGGATAATACCACGGGAGAAATGAGCGGAAGCGCTCTCTTTTCCTCTCTCTCCCTCTCTCTCTCCCCCTCTCTCCCCCTCTCTCTCCCCCGCTCTCCCTCTCCTGACAGCCCGTCAGTATCGTCTCATGCAGCTCGCTGATCCAGTAATGTGTGAGGCCGACAGTG